AGTCGGACGCTTAACCGACTGCACCACCCAGGCGCCCCCAAAAATACTAATTTAAATGGATATGTGCACTCTGCTGTTTATAGCAACATTACCTAGAATATCCACATCATGGAAAGAGCCCAAATGTCCATTGACTGATGAATGGATAAAGAAGTGGTATAGGGTGTTGGGTGACTCAGTGAATTAAGTGTCAGACTCTTCATCTAAGCTCAGGTCTTGATCTCAAGGTCATGAGTTCAAACCTTTTGTTAGGCTTGAAAAATAAAAGAGAAATTGGATGCATCACAATTCTGGTTTTCAAGTTACATTTCAAAGCTGTAGTATACAAAACAATATGGTACTGGCACAAAAATAGGCACATAGATCAATGGAACAGAATAGAAACCCCAGAAATAACCCCACAATTATGTGGTCAATTACTCTTTAGCAAAATAGGAAAAAAAATATTCAACTGGAAAAAGACAGTCTTTTCAACAAATGGTGTTGGGAATACTGCACAGCAAACTGCAAAAGAATGAAACTGCTCAAAATGGATTAAAGACCTAAATGAGAGACCTGACATCATAAAAATTCCAGCAGAGAACACAAGACAGTAAGATCTCTGGCATCAATAGTAACATTTTTTCTAGATATGTTTCCTGAAGAAAGGGAAATAAAAGTGAAAATAAACTATTGGTACTTCATCAAGATAATAAGCTTCTGCACAGCAAAGGAAACAATAAACAAAACTAAAGCAATAAACAAAACAACCTAAGGAATGGGAGAAAGTATTTGCAAATGACATATTTAATAAAGGACTAGCATCCAAAATATGTAGAGAACTTACACAAATCAACACCCCAAGCCCAAACAGTCCAATTAAAATTGGGCATAAGAAATGAACAGAAATTTCTCCTCCAAAGAAGACATACCGATGACCAACAGACACATTAAAGATGCTCAATATCACTGATCATAAGGGAAATGCAAACCAAAACTGAAATGAAATATCACCTCACACCTATCAGAATGGCTAAAATCAACAACAGAAGAAATAAATATTGGCAAGGTGTGGGGAAAAAGGAACCCTCTTGTGCTGTTGGTGGGAATGCAAACTCATGCAGCCACTGTGGAAAACAGTATTATGGAAGTTCCTCAAACAGTAAAAAATGGAACTACACTATGATCCAGTAATTGTGCTACTGGGTATTTATCAAAAAAATACAAAAAAAAATAATGCAAAGGGACACATGCACTCCTATGTTTATAGGAGCATTATTTATAGTAGCCAAGATATGGAAGCAGCCTTAGTGTCTATAGATTGATGAATGGATAAAGAAAATGTGGTGTATATATACAATGGAATATTATTCAGCCATAAGAAAGAATGAAATCTAGTACACTTGAAAGTAATATAACACTATCTGTTAACTAACTGGAATTGAAATAAAAACTTAAACTTAAAAAATAAAAACTTAAATAAAAACTTAAAACTTAGGGGCATCTGGGAGGCTCTGTTGGTTAAGCTTCTGACTCTTGATTTCAGCTCAGGTCATTGTCTCATGGTTCCTGGGATTGATCAGACTCTGTGCTTACTGAGCAGAGCCTGCTTGGGATTTTCTCTCTGCTTGGGATTTCCCCCTCTCTCTGCCCCTCCTCTGCCTGTGTGGTCCCTCTCTCTCTCTCTCTCTCTATGTGTGTATATATATATATATATGTATGTATATATATATATATATACATACACATATATACGTATATATGTATATATACACATATATATGTATATATATAGGTATACGTATATGTATATATGTATACATATACATATATACACATATACGTATATGTATGTATATGTATATATATACACATATATACATATATATGTATATATATACACATATATACATATATATGTATATATACGTATACATATATACGTATATATGTGTGTGTATATATATATGTAGATATATAATCTTGCCATTTGTAATGACATGGATGGAGCTAGACAGTATAAAGCTAAGCGATTTAAGTCAATCAGAGAAAGACAAATACCATACAATTTCACTCATATGTGGAATTTAAGAAACAAAACAAATGAGCAAAGTTAAAAAAGAGAGATAGACAAACCAAAAAAATTTCCTATCTATAAAGAACACACTGATGGTTACCAAAGGGGAATTGTGTGGTGTGGATGGGTAAATAGGTGATGCGGATTAAGGAGTGCACTTGTCATGATGTGCATTGGGTGATGCATGGAATTATTGAATCACTATATTGTACACCTGAAATTAATATAACATTGTGTGTTGACTACACTGGAAAAAAATTTAACAAAAATATGTTTTAATTTTATTTTCTTTTAATATTGAAGGAAACATTTAATATAACAACAATTAATTTATAATAATGTATCTAGATAATTTGTTTTTATACCAAAGCAGTTGTAAAGTGTAATTTTTAATATTTCTTTATGAAATAAGGACATTTCAAAGTGAAAACAAAGTGAAAACTAAGGTCCACAAAAGTCAGGATGTGGTCCTAATGTTAGTTGGATTACTATATTCACCTACACTATATGAATCTAACTCTTTATAGAATTTGAGAACATATAGACCCTAGTCCTCTATGTATCAGCTTTTGCATGATGTGCCAAATAAGAATGTCAGAATGGCTGTTAGAACTGTGTTGTGGAACTGTCTGCCAGCTTCTGAACAGGGTCACGACCTCCGCCTGAGAGTGGACCCTGCCATTGCTCAAGCCCAGCCTGTATGCTTTCTTTCCTCATCAATTAAGATACCAAAAGGAAAGGGGGTCAGTACTCAACATGGTACAGCTTTGTTTCCACTTAGTTGTGGCTTTCATTCAGGAAGAAGGGAAAAATGTAAGTCCCAAGGAGTGATGTTTTACCCTCCTCCTGGCAGACACATCCTCAGTATACTGCTCTGTTTTCTTCAACAGTCAAAAGCTGCTGCTTCAGCCAAAAGAAAAAACAAACATAAGGAATGCTAGGATATCAGTGTTATTTCTCACTCTTCATGGTTGTTTCTGAAACTTAGATGTCATTGAGTTCAGTTCCTTCACTTTATTAGAAACTGAAGTCCAAAGGAGAAGGTGACTTGCTTAATGTCACAATCCAAATTGGTGCCATAGCCAGGAATAAAGGCCACTTTCTCTCTAAGAGCAAATAACACTCATCTATCTAGTACCAACTTTTGTATTTGTAATATGAGGATAATGCTGCTAGTTTTCAAAGATGGTTTCTACTCTGTGGTATATAATCTATATTTTGACAGATCAAGAGATTCTACGTAAACTGGAGAAAGAAAAGATTCTTGTCTTCACACCATCCCGAAGGGTCCAGGGAAGGAGAGTTGTCTGTTATGATGACCGGTTCATAGTCAAATTGGCTTTTGATTCTGACGGCATCATTGTATCTAATGATAACTACCGAGACCTTCAAGTTGAAAAGCCAGAATGGAAGAAGTTTATAGAGGAGCGGTTGCTGATGTATTCTTTTGTGAATGACAAGTACGTTTCTTTTAGTAGGCACTGAATGCTTAAATCCCTGTTTCCACTAGGAATAGATTTTCATTTCAATAAACATTTACTGAACATTTACTGTGTACTGTGAATTATGCTAATTGCCATGGAGATAAGAGGCTGAATAGGAAACAAGACTCACTCTTAAGAGGCTCAAAGTGTACTGGAGAAGTGAAAGAGAACCACACATGTGATAAGTAGTATGGCTAGAGTTTTTAAAATTGCTTTGTCTACATGAAATAATAGGAAAAAGCCTCAAACAGGACATAACGTTTGAGATGAAGTTTACATACAGAAGAAAGAGGATTGCTGGGCACTACAGGTAAAAAGAATTTCATGAATAAAGCTATAAAGATGTGAAAGTAGGTTGCATGTGGGGGGAACCAGCAGGCATGCTCGTATGGTTGAAATGTACAGTCCACAGAAGAATGATACACTGGAAAAATCATATTTTTGGTGTGTGTGTGTGTGTGTGTGTTCACATGGGAATGAAGGGAAGAACTGCTGGCTTAGCAGGAGATAGACCTGAGGCAGAAAGGACAATTAGAAGGCCATGACAACAGTATAGGCAAGGAGTAATGAAGATCTGAACTCCTAAAAAAGGGTAATGGGGATAGAAAGGAAGATATTTATCTCTTGCTTGTTTGCTTTTAGATTTATGCCTCCAGATGATCCTTTAGGACGCCATGGCCCAAATCTTGAAAATTTCTTGAGAAAGAGACCTGTTGTTCCAGAGTACAAGAAGCAACCATGCCCTTATGGTGAGTACCTATGTGCATAACTGAGTTCTATACTAAAAGAAACACAAGGACTATGTGAATACTTACATCTCAAAGGTTTCCCTTTCAAATGGAAAATTGCAACTTGTCTATGTTCTGTGAGTTAAAGTCTGTGTCTAACTATTCTCAGGCATTTAAAAAAACATCCATAAAAACTGCATGAGAAACATGTAACTAGAATTGAAGGGAAAATTAGTTGCTGCTTGTTTAAATGATACATGTGTTCTAGCTGTCTCCATCCTGGGCAGTGTTGCTGGAGGCAGGGAAGTGCAGAAACTCACATGGCCTACGGAAGCAGAAAAGGCAATGCTAAATTGGATTTGGCCTCAAAAAAGGATGTGTCTCTCAAGTAGGTGACTGCACTCTCTGTCAACTAATAATACCCTTTTCTTCAGATCTGTATTTTCCAGTTTTCTTCCAAACTTCATTTTCATTTGGTTTTTAAAAATATAGTTGTCTAGAGTGCTTTCATGATCTTATGCCAAGTCCTTCTGATACAAAGTTTGTGAGCCTAACGATGCAACATGGGCTGCTTGGTCTGAAGCTACTTTGGATGTTCACTCTTTTTGGATAATCATTTGTTTATGTGACATCTTGGGTTTTTTTTCTCAATTAACATTTGTTTAAATTATACAGTATTTTCTTGTTCATTTGCTTCATTTAATTTTTACAATGACCTTATAATACAGGCATAATTATGGACTTCTTTTACAGAAGAGTTAAAATGAGGCTCAGAAAGTAAAGTCACTTACCAAGGTCACATGTCTAGTAAACAACATAGCTGAAATTGAAACTCAGGCTGACTGGCTTCCAAGCCTGTGCTTTTTGCACTGCACTATGCTGCCTGCTGCTGCCCTACACTGCCTCAGCATGCAGGTTATGCCTAGGCAAAGTTGTGAATTACAGGAAAGTGAAGGCTGTTCAACTGCTCAGTTCTTAGCTTTTACGTTGCAGTTTCCTCTCCAGGTTTCCACTTCTTCCTTCTTCCCTCACAGTGTGTGATGCCTCCTTGGTGTTGTGCTGCCTCTCATCTTTATGGACAGTTAACTTTCTTCTTAAACCCAAATAGTAAAACTCTAACCTGAGTACCCAGTTTATTACAGGAGTTTCTGACAGATTTGCACCAGTATGAGAGAGAGTCTTACCCCAAGACATTATTTTTCAGGCAAAAAATGCACTTATGGCCACAAGTGCAAATACTACCATCCGGAGCGGGCCAACCAACCACAGCGTTCGGTGGCTGATGAGCTCCGCATCAGTGCCAAACTGTCCACAGTGAAAACCGTGAGTGAAGGCACCCTGGCCAAGTGTAGCACAGGGCTGTCTAATGCCAAAGGTGAAATAACCTCCGAAGTCAAACGTGTGGCCCCCAAGCGCCAATCGGATCCCAGCATCCGGTCCATGGCTGTGGAGCCTGAGGAATGGCTGTCCATTGCCCGTAAGCCTGAGGCCAGCTCTGTCCCCTCACTTGTGACTGCCCTAAGTGTCCCCACAATCCCACCCCCCAAAAGCCATGTGGTGGGTGCACTCAACACTCGTTCAGCCAGCAGCCCAGTGCCAGGATCCTCTCATCTCCCCCACCAGAAGGCCTCACTGGAACACATGGCTAGTATGCAGTACCCTCCAATCCTGGTTACCAACAGCCATGGGACACCTATTAGCTATGCTGACCAATACTCAAAGTTTGAGTCCCTGGGGGACCACAGCTACTATTCAATGTTAGGCGACTTCTCCAAACTGAACATCAACAGCATGCATAATCGAGAGTACTACATGGCTGAAGTAGACCGAGGGGTGTATGCCCGGAGTCCCAACCTCTGTCCTGACAATCGTATGAGCCATACCAGGAACGACAACTACTCCTCTTACAACAACCTGTATTTGGCTGTAGCTGATGGCCATCCTGAAGGCAATTTAAAGCTGCATCGCTCAGTATCTCAGAACCGTCTTCAGCCTTTTCCTCATGGTTACCATGACGCCTTAACACGAGTGCAGAGCTATGGCCCAGAGGATTCTAAGCAAGCCCCCCACAAGCAGTCAGTTCCCCACTTAGTTCTACAAGCCCAGCACCCAGCAACTGGAGCATGTTCAAGCTGTCCTGGAGACTACCCCATGCCTCCTAATCTCCACCCTGGGGCAACCCCCCAGCCAGGACGTGCTCTGGTAATGACTCGGATGGACAGTATTTCTGACTCCCGCCTCTATGAAAGCAACCCAATGAGGCAAAGAAGACCTCCCTTGTGCCGGGAACAACATGCCAGCTGGGACCCATTACCCTGTACAACCGACTCCTATGGCTATCACTCCTATCCCTTGAGTAACAGCCTCATGCAACCATGCTATGAACCAGTCATGGTACGGAGCATGCCTGAAAAGATGGAACAGCTTTGGAGGAATCCTTGGGTTGGAATGTGCAATGATACCAGGGAGCATATGATCCCAGAGCACCAGTATCAGACTTATAAGAACCTCTGCAATATTTTCCCTTCAAACATCGTCCTTGCAGTGATGGAAAAGAATCCCCACACAGCAGATGCCCAGCAACTGGCAGCCTTGATTGTTTCTAAGCTTAGGGCTGCACGTTGACATGACACAGGACTTATTCCTTTATACATATATAAATATTCATACTAATAATGCATCAATGCTAAGATAAAAGTAACCAATAATTTTGTGTTGCGCTTTACAAGTTATAGTGTTTCTGTCATTTGAAGCGCAAAACAACCCTGTAAAGTAAATTTTACTAATCTTATTTTCTATAAAAGGAAACTGAATCTCATTGTGATTAAGTTACTTGCCAAGGTCACACTGCTAGCAAGTGACCAAATCAGGATTCACACTCAAGTCCTCTGACTCCAAGTCCCATGCTTTTTTGCTTGGCACCATGCGGATAATGGAGGACAAAACTCGAGGAGAGATCTAAAATCAAGAAACTCCCAAAGGATTCCATTATCAATGTTTTCTTAGTTGCACATTCTATATTACAAAGTATTGATAATATTTCTAATTTAGAGAGCAAGAGCATCTGGATCAAATCATATATTGAATTTACCTTTTGGGATTTTTAATAGGATATTTAAAGCTTTTAAAAAGTAAATACATAATTTATTGCATGAATATCTGACCATTCAATATCTTTATTAACCAAGCTATAGGGTCACATCAAAGCTCTAGACCTATATTTCAAACCTATTGTTAGCAATTATATTGCATGCATAACTGTATGTATTTAGTTTGAGATGTTTATGTATCCCCATATAACCTTTTATATAGTGATAATGAGAAGAAAAACTCTGCACAGTCCTTAGTCTACAGCTGTATAGATCATGAATCTAACTTGATTTTATGTCACATTTCATAGTTTCAACTAGTTCTGAAAGTGAAATTACATGCCAATATTTGAATATTGTTTTCTTAGGCACCAGAGAAAACTAACTGTATTTCCTTTGCACTTTTTACTTGTCAACACTGACAGTTCTTAGCTTTGAAGTCTCTTCACTTTAGCAAATTTGGGATCAGATTACAGCTTTCTTCTTCAGAGGAGCTGATGGACAAGCATAGCAGGTGTGTGCTAGACAAGCACAGAAGAGTTTGACAAGGATGAAGGGATTTACTACCAGACTCCACTTCCCTTTTCTAAGGAGAAATGGCCAAACTCATGCAGCATTAAATGATGAACACAAAGCTGCACTCAAGGAGGGTCTAATGGATACCCTTTAAACTTATGACCTATGCAGTATTCAACATCACAGGATAAAATGTAATGGAGGACGGTGCACAGCCATGTAATCCACTTTCTTCTGCTGTCCACTCTTTGGGCAATAAGGTGGATCATTAGTGGAACAGAATTTCTTTAGGAAACAAAACCAGGGGATTTTCTAAGTGGAAAAAGGCAGCTTACAAAAGGGGATGCTACATCTTTGCTAATAGCTGGTTCAGTTATGCACTTTCCCTTAAAAATTCTTAAATGCATCACTAAACACACAGGATTTTGGATTGAGCAGCACCATTTGCACAACTAGTATCTTTCTCAGGGTGGAAACCTTTGTAGCTAAATGCCTCTTGCATTTATTGTTTTTGGGTTTTTTTTTTTAAGCAGTACTAAATGAACCCTTTTTTAAATCCATTGCATACTTCAACATTTTGAACCATGACCTGCTATTTCTTGAGCTGGAATTTGCTAATTTCTATGTGGTTTTTTTTTTTTTTTCATGAAAGTTGAGGTGGCCTGGTTTTGGCCTTTTGTTTCTTCATGAGAATGTGTGACTGCCTATAAATTTTCTTACCATGAAGCACTCCGCATGTGAGGCCGTAGTCAGGGTTGTTTCTGGTGGTTTGATAATGGCTTGAATGCTGCTTTTTGGTTTTCTGTCACTGTTCTAGTTGATCAAAACTGCACCTCAGCCAGCATTTCTCTTCAGTTAACCACAACTTCATATTCATCTCCTATCCTCTCTGGTCTTCCCATTCCCCAGCATTTTGAGTGGTAAAAGTATTTTCTGTCAGGTAGAAAATAGAGAGTGACAGTTGCCACTGAAGTGCTTGCTATTTCACACAAATACCACTTCATTCCTTCAACTTCTTGGACCTTCTAAATTGGCCCCATGTCTAAATCAGGGTATTTGACACTCTTAGATGACTCTACTGCCTTTCTGCCAGTTAGTTCATCTTCCTAACAAAATCATCAATAGGATTAAAGTATCCACTAGCTGCACAATTTACGGGGAAGCACAAGATTAATCTTGTCAGCTGCAATTTATCTTGAACATGTTCATGTTTAGTACTCAAAAACATTGTAACCTTCTCTCAACACAGGAAATACTTAAGGCAGTGTATGTATTTTTTATTTTCCAAAAGCAATTGTCATTTTTCTCATAAGATGTTTATGAACCAAAGCGGCTAAAAGCAATGCCTCAAATAACCAGAAATGACATTTTGTTGATACAAATTGTATCCCTTTTTTTCCTGATTGTATAAAAACAAATGTACAAAACTCATATTAAACTAAGTTCGATACTGACTTTTTATCATAATGTTTGTAGCACTGTGTGTCACAAGAAAGCAGCCTGGTCATGAGGGAGCGATTTCCAAGTAGTAGCTTATAGACAAAGACTATTTTTCAAGGTTTCTTTATTATTATGCACACAGCTATTATGTGTGCAGTTTCAAGCACTATGTTGTATAAGTTTTCTTTAGCTTATTAAATTTAATATGTCCCTGCAAAAGGGATTTTGTGTAAAAAGTGTGTTAGTGAATAATCTGCAAGAATCTATAAATGGAGCTGTACAATTCTGAATGCATAAATCTAGTGTGGTTTTTAGTGAAGTTATTAGAGAACTTTTTTTTATACTGAGGTCTGTATACTTCTTGACTTTTCCATTTTGTCTTTAATTATAAAACAACAAATACAAAGAAGAATTGGAACTTCCTCAGCTCTCTTGATAATAAAGTCAGGCTTCCTTCCTAGGGTTGAGCATATGTCCTTCAGAATACTTATCTCCAAACACTCAGCAGAGTTACTACACAGTGTTTTGTGTGGCTTTCAAGGAACAGTGTATTTTGCAAGAGGTGCTTTGTACTTTTAAGTTTTTTCACTGAGTTACTGAACTCCTAGCAAGTCGGTGCCTGTTCAAACCTTAGATTTTGTAAATTTTGTGATTCTTTTTTTGTAATTTTGTTGTTATTTTTATTTCAATCTGAAGAAGTGTGATTCTGGAGTGGTATGGTCAATCCAGGCACCAGAGCCTTTTCAAAGGTAACATTACAGCCATTGCACTCTATCTTAAAGTACAAGGTATGGAAGGGAGAATGACAGATACCTTATGCAAAGGGTCTATAAAACTTTCCCTCTAATAATATAAATATAAAGTACACACACACACTGCTAGTTTTCAGAACACTTTGAATACCCATTTTTTTCTATTTTAAAACAAATTATCTTTATACGGTAATTCAAACATTGATAACCATTAACCTTTGGCACTGAGCTTTCTTCTAACACAGAAGTGTTCATTTTGAGAGGCACTTAGTTACTGTTCTATCTATGCTGTAAGTGTGGGACTTTGTATAAATGCCCTTTTTGAGGGCCAACAATTTCAATACACTTTTACTCTGTGACCCAGGTCTGACACTGCACAGAGAAAATAATGTTAAGCTATCCAAAGAGCCCTGCTCAGGTTTCCTCCTAACCCTTCTCTGCCTTCCCCTAATTTTCTTCTCCTCAGGTCTAACACTGAGGAGGGCATAGTCTTAAACTGAAGTGGCACTACAGTTAGTTCTCAATGGAAACCAAACCAGTTCATTTTGGGAAACGGCTTGCCTAAAGTAGTCGGTGCCTTTGAAAAGACTTAGCATATTCAATGTCTATCATATTGTAGCTAGCTATATACATAGGCAGATTGACTATTTCTAGTCCTGGTTTGTATATCACTGAGCTATAGTACTTTGCTTTATCCATTTGTGGGATTAAACAATACTGTTTAATGGTTGTAAACTTTTATAAAACCTCTTTGGGTTTTTTGTTTGACCCAAACATAATGTAAGTCTCAATGACAAAATACACAAAGCCAACCAGAGTTGAGTGGAAATATATCCTGTCCCCAGTTTTGTCTACCCCTATAATGCAGGTGCAATGCTTTGCAATGTTCTCACTAGCATGAATGTGCTATACTCCTTAACGAGGTTTTAATTTGTTTCACCTATAATCATGATTGAAAATGCTGTATCATTGACAACAATGAACTGTTACCACACTTATTTTCTGCATAAACTATTTGTCTACTAACTACTAATGCCTGTGTTTCTTTAAGAACATCAACAACAAAAGCCATATTACACCTACCTATACACACTCTAGTTCACTTCTAAACTTAAATTTCTATCCTTAGGGAATTTAAATAAAAACTTGAAACTACAAAAAAAATTCTGTCCTTGGAACTTGCATCTTGAGATAAGCTGTAAGGAGAGGGATCTCTCTGAATGAGTTCATCTGAATTTTATCACAATAAGCATATGCCTTCTTCTATCTTTGTATACTAACACAGCTCCAAGTGTTAATCATCTTGTGTTTCCCACAGGGCTGGACTGGGGCCAGGCCTCCACTCATGGGTCAGAACTAAGTGGAGGCCTCACGGCCCAGGCTTAGTTTCTCCTCTGAATATTCTCAGGGCCACAGAAATACTCTGTTGGACATTAGCTAAAATATCAGAGCTAGAAGCAGCCTGGCACCCTATACGTTACAGAGAAGTCACAGGTGGAATGCTCAGCTGCATCAACTCCATCACGTTATAGGTGTGGGAACTGAGGCTGCAAGAACTGAAGAGATTTGACTAAGACTGAACAGGGAGTTAATCGCAAAGCCACTACTGGAACCACAGGCTTCATTGCTCCCAGGCCAATGAGCCCTTTATTACAGTGGTGTCTGCTCTTCCCTCAGGCTTTTTAGGAGTTTCCTACCCTCACCCCAACCTCCCTACCCCATGCACAATCCAGGCCAGTCCCATTCTAAAGGCAGAGATGACCACAGTTGCTGCAGGAGAGCCCAGCCTAAGCCTTTCGAAGGGGCTATTCATAAATCTGAGAATATTTCTTTTATCATCTTTTTGGGACTAAGAGTGTTCATCTCTCCTTATCTTTTTTCTGCCTCCTTTCACATTTCTCAGGCATACATGTATTACGTTTTTAGAACCAAATAGTGACCTGGTCTATACTGGGCTAGGGAAGGACAGAGGAGGAGTACAGTTCCTGTCTTCTAGAACTTGCACTCACATGAGGAAATGAGGCACACTTACAGAATATGTTAATAAATTAAGACTTTCTTGGAGAGCAGTGGCAGCCTGAGTGTTTGGGGAGTGGTAGAATTCCAAGAAGTGGCAATTCAGTATCCAATGTCTCTCCCTAGTAATAGGTGGGAAATAACTAGTTTGACCATTTCCTTCTCTAGCTCACCTCTCTGGCCTCAGGACCTATCATGTTCCAATTATCCTGGACTCTTCACTGGTGCCCCAACACGCCATACTCTTTCTTATCCCTTCCAAATTTTTACCTTACTTCTACTCTGATTTGCCTTTGAAGACTCACTGATAGTGTTACCTCTTCTATTCAGCTGTCCCACCTCCTCCATCAAGCATTGTTAGTGCTTATCCAGTGGGATCTTGAACAATCCTTCTATCTTACCACTTGTCATTTTTATAATTATGTTGGCATGCAGACTCCTCTACAAATAAGGCAGTTCTTTAGAACCAGAAACTATGTTCTTCATCACCGATAAATTATCAGAAGGGGTGACTCTCAATTACTGTTGTTGAATTAACAGTATAATCTACATTTCCTTCCCTTGTTCCCCACTTAAATGTGTACAGTCCAAAGCCTTTTTCTAATCCATCTCTGATCTCTAGTCAGAAAGAAAAGGTCCAAGAGCACTTGCTTCCTGGCCGGTCCTCCCTTACCCCTTTACCTCACCTGACTCAACCTTTGACCCCATCATCTAAAGCAGCCCTTCCCAGAGACCTGGCTTCACAAATCCCAGGTTTCAGGACTCCAGCAAATAATGGCCTTTGACTCTGGACCTGAACTAGAAATGAGCTCATATAATCTGTTTCTCATCTTTAGGTCAGTCTTTGAAAGCCAGGGGAAATCACTTTGTCCTAAGTTATACAGACCTGAGTCCTGGGTTCGAGGTCCACTAATCCTGGCATGAACCCACGTGGCTCACACATACAAAGCATGGTACACTTTAAAGAGCAACTTCATATCTATTACCTTTTTTCTGATCCTTACAACAAGACTGTAAGGCAAATATTACCCTCCTACAGATGAAGAAGCTGGCATAATTTACCCAAGGTTGCTCCCATGAGTGGTGGAATTCCCTGGAACCTAGGTCTTTAGGCAGATTTTTTTTTTCCTTTCTATTCCAGTGATCTCAAACTTCAGCATGCATCAGAATCACGTGGTGATTGTTAAGCCAGATTTCTGCCCACCCTTAACCTTTCTGATTCAGGTCAGTAATGGGGTTCAATAATTTGCATTCCTAACAATTACCCAGATAATGCTGATGTTGCAAGAAACTTGGATCTATATACTATTAGCTTGTTTTGTGCCCTTGGACAAATCCTTTCTTTCTGTCAGCCTCAGTGTCTCAATGCATAAAATTAGGTGTTAGACCAGCATGATTTCCAAATTTTTGGCAAAAAAATATCTTACATACAATACCAATACATACATAATATATAAAATCCAGGCAGCTCCAGAGAAGTGGCAGAGGGGAACCACAAGTTTGCAACACCCATCTCCACATGGAGCAGGTGCTGAGCTACATCACAGAGTACATGTTCATAAATCTCTTGGCTGTATGTGGCTTAGATGCTCTGGGATCCTTCAGCTCTGACATTCCACAATGTCGAAAGACAGCATTTACCATTGTGGCAGGGGTGGGAAGATTTGGAGGTAAACTGACTTTGTGTAAACCAGTGCAGGAGACTGCTCCGCCCAATCCTAATGCTTGGGTCTACACAAGATAGGAAATCTTAACCCTGTTGGGCTGTTGGACTGATGGACCCTTTGATAATCTTATTAGATCTGTGGGCCAGTTCTAGAAAAATGATTATATACACATACCCACAAAGATATTCTGGATATCCTTTAAGAGATGTTGGGGACTTCATAGGGATCCTACCTCAAGTTAACATTTGACAGTGCTCTGGCGTAACATTTCCACTAAATTCCTCCTTGGAATTTTCACAGCATAAGCCCTCTCCTTTTTTTCATTATTCCTTAGCTCCAAGCTACCCCTTGGGCCAGCTTCTTGTATGAAATGTTGCCTAGATCTGTCCCTTGCTTCCCCTTGTCTGGGCCCAACTTGGCCCTACAGAGATGCACACTCTCTTGCTCAGCTATCACTCTCCCCAGAATTGATAATACCATAGCCAGACTTTACCTCAACCTCCACCCTAAAAAAACACAAAGAACTTGTGGCACACCAGAGCTCCCTTAGGGCACTTAGCAGAACATCAGGTTATAATTGGCATCTTTTGTCTTTTCTCACAGGCAGAGGGCTCTGAGGGATGTGAACATGATTTATTCATCTCAGTCTCTTAGCAGCTCAGAGCCGACACAGTGTAGGCACTCTTGAGTGTCTGAGGGAATTGGGTGACCACAGAGAAGGAGCTCTGGGTCACTCCATAAGATATTCTCTGTCTCCAATGCCTACTATAGTAAAGTCCACTCTATCTTTCTTGGCCAAAGGAATGGAAAAATAACAAAGGATTCTCTTTGGCTTTCATTAGCTGTTTAGTGCCCAGTGAGGGTAAGCAAGGAAATGAACCAGAAGCCTGCTAGGTAGCATCAGGAAGGCCTGGATCTTCCCACTGTCAGGGAGGTTCTGAGCAGATTCGCCTGATGCTGGCTGGGCTCTATAGACACCAATGCCTCGCTTATGGGGCCTAATGCTTCTAAGTAAGCTGGCCCCATGCTACAGGTCATAGAAATGAAAATGGTTTGAATCAGGAAGAAAGTATGAGTGGGGCCTGGTTGTGAAAATGACTAGGGGTAGTGGGCCCAAGGGGCAAAAGGACCAAGCTTCTGCTTAAAGTCCTGTTATGATCCCACATTCTCTGCCGCCCCCTAGAATAAAGGGAGAACTACACTGGTTTGTCCCAGCACACATCCCCTCATCTAACAAACATCAAAACTGTTTATTTTTTATTGTTTCTCAGAACAAAATTAAAAAACAAAACAAAACAGTCAAAATTCCACTCTGATGGAAAGTTGAGCTGATACGGCTGATATGGACTGTCTTCCAGGTTGTTTCATGGAGCGTCAAGTGCACTGGGGGAAGAGCAAGGGGACAAGAAAGGCAGGAGTGAGGGACAAAAGGGGCAGGGAATGGGTTGTTGCCCCAGCAGGGCTGAATAAACACTTTGCACCAGAATGGGTATCAGAAGAGCTGTAGGCCAGTTTTGAGTCCATGCAGCTGGCCCTGGCTCCAGAGAAGGCCCTCCAAGTTGCTGCTGCCGTTGCTACTGTTGCTGCAGTTGTCACTGCCCATGCCACAGCTCAAGCCAAGGGTGCTGTGGAGAGAGGGGGGAGGGGTCAGTCAGGGAAGGAGGCAGCTTTAGGCTCTAGAAGGGCTAAGGGTATTTGATGCATGTGTGTCTATGGAAAGGACCCACCCTCCTGCCTAGTTTTACAAAGAAGAGTATGGAACAAATCTGAAAAACTATTTCAGATGGCCCCAGGGATAGTTTTGCCTTCCCCTCAATTGAGATGGAGGGAAGGAGTAGAACTTTTCAAATGAAACTTTATTCAGAGCCCCAGTATATAAACCAGATCAAAGCAGAACTATTTCAGTTGAGGTAGGAGGGAGGACCCGTAACCACCCACCCCAGGAAGATATTGAAACTGGCCACCTTAACAGGTCTTTTTCCAAGGCCCTACATCTTGGGGGCCCAGAGACCCTGAGCTGGATCCCTCCCACCTCCAACAGCTGGTTAAGGCATCCAAGGCCAGGACTGGGCTACAGGGCTAGGCCCAGATCCCATCCCAGGATTGCAAGGTTACTCTAGGGAGAGGACTGCCTTCTCCCTCCCTGGTGCTGCTCAGAACACTCATTTCCCCTGCTTCCTGCAGATCAAAGGTCCTTCCAGGTAGATGAGGGTGACAGCTGAGAGCAAAGCCATCATCCTCCCCTCAGGCAGATCCATGGTTACACTACTGCAGCTGAAACCCTCAGAGATGATCTAGTCCCATCCCCACCCATCGTCTACCATCTTACAGATAGGGGGACTGAGGCCCAGAGATGAAAAGGGACTTGCTCAAGGCCACACAGTCAAGTCAGGGGTGCAGCTGGGGTGGCATGCTTGCTCCAGCAGAGGAAGCCCCCCTACTACAGAAGGTATGGGAGCTGGGCCCACTCCCCTTCCTTTTGGAATTAACAGCTCTACCTACCCACACTTGATACCGTGGTGCTCATCAAGCACCTTATTCAGACTTATTCAAGGGGAGAGGAGGTCTCTCAGACATGTGGGCCCCACTCCCAACTATAGACTATCTGGTTTTCCCAGCTGCCTCATCTCCTCTCTAAGAGGCCTGCTGTCCCCTGGCCTAGGACAGAGAGTCTAGCACTGTCTTGGCCCTGGCCTGTTGCTGCAGCCCCTGGGTTCTATAGCCCTCTCCCTGAATGTCCAGAGGAAGATGGGCTCATTTCCCAGGGAGTGGGCAGGCAGCACAGGGGAAGACCCACAGAGGTCTCTCTCTGGTGCTCATAGGATTCTCCCAGTCACAATGGCCCCGCATTCCAGAATGTACAAGCCCTCTGGACGGGCTCCTTTGTGTTACCAGCAGACACACACACACACACACACACACACACACACACACACACACACACAAACTGGATGCAATCTGAGAGGGGTGCCAAGCCAGCTCTGTGAGGCTACCTCAATACCACCACCAACCTCGCCCCCCACCACCAACTAGGGACTGGGAATCCTGGAAAATGCCCAGCCAGGGACTGGAGCTTATCCATCACTCACTTAGGCCCTGACTGGGGGAAGCTACCTTCCCCACCCATCTTGCTTTGTGTCTCTCCCTTCCTCCCTCCCTCCCTCCCTCCTGCAGGAGGCAGAGAAAGGGATAAGAATTCCTGCTGCCATTGGCACTCACCCAGTCTTGCATGTTGGGGGTTCCAGCCGCTGCTCTAGCACAGGCTGGTCCAAAAGATACATGGTGTCATAATTTTCCAGCATAAGCTCTGCTGGGTCCTCAGTCTGACCTGGCATTAGGCCTAAGGGAAAGGTATCCCATCGTACATCTTCTGTGAAGCCAAGGGAGGAAGTAAAAGTGGGTTGATTAGATAGTTCTCAGAGTGGTGTACAGGCCTAACTACACGGTCTACCCACCCATTTCAATTAGCCTCTCAGCATGGGATTTCTGTGCATGTCCAGCCTCACTCCTGCCTCCATCATTTCTCATGAGCTCCTCTCTACCTTCACACTCCCCACCCCTTCCATACTCGGCTATTCACTCTTCATTGCCCTTATCCCCTCTATGTGTTCACACATACCCACACATGCCACCACAACCTACTCCCAAGTCCACACATGCCATGCACACAACTAAAAACATAATTTGTTCTCCCACCTCCCCAGATATGTCCCCAGCATAGACATAGACAAGAACAACTTCTTCAGACCTGGCTGTATCACTGCCTCAACTTCTCACCTGCTCTGTACACACATATATTCTGGAGAGTCTGGATACTCCAGAATTCCCACACCGCATCCCCAAACCCAGATACCTCAAGAGTATGTGAAAGGCCTAGATTTCCTGCACATCTACACACAATCCCCACCCCCAACGTGTCTGAATGCCACATTTCTTAGTGGCCTTGCATTTAGATAGATACACACACACACACACACCCCACCTCAGAGTGTACTCTCTCTCAGAGGTATTATACTCCCCCCGTCCCTTTGCAAGGTCTTACTGCCCCCAGATATACACACACAGAACATCCCTTACCTAGGAAAAGGGTGTCTTATTGCATATCCCACTCCCCACTGCCACCTAAGTATACACACTTAGGCATATAGACTGACCCTCCATTCAATGAGTGCTCCCAGTTTCACTCTGCCTCCTACACCTCTCATTCACAGGAATACAAGCCAGAAATCTTAATGTCTCTATATCCCCAAATATGTGTATGCCCACACAGAAGCAGCAATGGAAAGAGGGAGAATAAAAGACTTTAATATCCTGCCTTTCCACTTTCATAAGCCACTCCCCTACCACCCCAAAGAAATTCCACTTTAGAACAAACCATATCAGGCACAACCCACCCCCTCTGTCCTACCACTTAAACACCCTCTACATAGTATTATAGTAAAGCCTCATCCCCACCCTTACACTGGTGCATCCAGTGTTTTCAAGCAAAGCCTTCATGAGCTCCTCCAAGTAGGTCCAATTTCAGGCCTTCTGCATCTCCTTGGTACCCTAAAAGTTCTCTGTAATAATGCCCTGGCATTCTGGACTAGCTTTTTATGTTATCCACAGAACCACACACCCTGACTCTTCTCCAGGAAGGAGGTTGTGCCTATCTTAATGACCTGTGTTGCCCTATAAATACAAAGATGCCTTCGCACACAGGGACCACTTTCCCCATGTCTGTCACTGACCCGACCATCTTCCCTCCCCTCCCCATCAACAGCATCCCCAACCCTGTCTACATCATGGCCCCTGCCTCTCTAGCCTGACATCCGTGTACATGTCCCTCAGTGACAACACAGACACACACAGGCTACCTCTGGATGGCTGTCTCACTGCCTGTTCTCACACCTTTATACACCCACCTCTCATTGCAGAGATACCCCTCCCTCACAGAGATACCTTCTGTCTCCCTTAGGTCTCAGTGACCCTGCCTCTTCTTCCAAAAACATACATGACCATGTGTACATCTATGCACAGATTCATAGCATCCACTTCACAATGACTTCACAGTCCCTACTCTCTCTTTCTCACATACTCATACAATTCTGCCTATGTCAATGCCCCTCCCATTCAATATTTACAAAGATCCCAAACACGGCCCTCCTTGTACTAAGGAGTTCTCTGCCACCATGCCTTTCTATATGCAGCATGTGCAGGCAGGTAAACAGACGTAAACATGTTCCCCTACCCCTAGCACTCAGTGCCTTTATGCCCCAGACCTTCCACACATGTCCACACAAGAGCAAAGGCTCCACCTTTCCCCCTAAGTTCCTTCACTGTCTTCCCCATCTCTCCCTATTGTTCCCTAACATGCCTACCCTATGCCACACCCAGTCCCAGCTGTTTTCCTTCCCTCTTTCAGGTTCCATCATACTGACTGCCCTGCATCTACCCCTGCTTCCACGGTATACACATATACACCAAAATGTTCTTTCCTTCAGGATCTCCCTGCCTCAGGGTTCCTATCCCCTAACCTAAACAAAGGCACTCAAAACACATCCATTAGCAGGAACAGATTCATACACCCCCACTTTCTTATCACCTAATTCTTTCTTTCCCCCTCTAAGCTTTGTCCCATTAACTTGTATGCTCACCCCAAAGCCACAACACTCCTTATTTTCGCTCTTCTGCTTTCCCTTCCACTTCCTCTAACTTAATACCTGTTTTCCTTGTCATATACACAGCAAAATTCTGCCTCATCACCACCCAGCCCTCATGTGTCCATACACATTCACATATAAATAGGAAGCATTATTTGTCTACCTGCTCCTGGGTCACTGCATACAAAAAACAAATGCAGAATCATATATATCCACCCACCTCTCACTTTCTCCTCTGTGTTCTGCTGCTCAGTGCCCACACCCACACCATCCCCTCTGAATGTGTTCTCTGCATGAAGCATCCAGTAGCATGATAGCTCTTAGGGCCTGGAAGCTTACATACTGTCTTAAAGGGGAAGAAAGCCAGGTGCCACCCACACACCAGACTGCCTCCCAGACCTGCCTCATACTGGCTAACTTCTGCTACTTTCCATCTCCTCTAGGGTGGAGGGAAACCTCAAGAGCCAGCCAGAGAAGGAAGATTGGTGTGAGAGAAAGTGGGTACCAGGCTTCTTACCAGAGCTAATTTGCCATGCAGAGCCCTGTAAAGCTCCTGTTTTCTGGGCCAGGAGCCTGGAATTCTCAGCAGTGGAAGACTCCTCAGCAGAGAAAGGCTCCACTTCCATTCTCTCCTCCTTCTCCTCCTCCTCCTCCTCCTCCTCCTCTTCATCATCATCATCTTCATCCTCCTCCTCATCCCACTTCTGGTCATCGTTTTCCTCTTCCTCCTCCTCCACCTGATTTTCCAATACCTCTTTCTCCTCTTCATTTTTCTGGAGATCATTAAGGCTGCCCTGCTCCTCCTGCTGCTGGGGTTCTTCAGATCCAAAGCTGGAACCAGCTGGTTTGAAGCTCCAATACAGGCTGTCCAGTGTATATGGAGACTTCCCAATGGGGGAGGCCTCTGAGCCCTCCTGTACTAGGCTGTTTTCTCCACTTTGGGTGTAAATGGAACAGATTCGCAGCAGCTTCTCCTGCTCCTCATCTGGCAGGACCTGTCCCATGGCTTTGAAGACACTGAGCAAAGGGAGGGGTGGGGTAAGAAAGATTCAAAATCTCAAGTCACTTGATACCCCAATACTACATGGTTTGAAGTTGGTCTCTTGAGTTTCCAGACCTGCCTCTGAAGGCAGTGCAGAAGAACATACAAAAACAGAAAGGGCCCAGGGACCCTGAACAAGCTCTGTGATTCATCTCTGTAGCTCACTTCAATTCTCAGTAAAATGAGGATGGCACTTGACTTAAAGGGTTGTTGGGAAGAGTAAATAAGATAGTTCACATAGAATGCCTGGCATAGTGCCTAGCACACAGTGAGTGGGCATGTAATAAATGATAGCTATTAGTCTGTACTAAATGCTGTGTAAATACACAAACTAGGCAGTAGACCTACAGGGCTAGACATGGGAATGGCAGATCCCTCTCTTCCAATGGCTTAGCTGAGCAATTTGTCCTGAGCTTCAAAGATATGCCTGGAAGTGTGCTGAGCAACTTATACATGGAATACAAAATTTGATCCCTTTTCAGGAACAACTACAGCCCAACCTGGAATGGAGGAAAAGAAAAAAAGTCAGTGGTTGACAAGACAAAGCAAGATGTGGGGTGGGGAGGCCACATGAGCACTGCAGACCTTGGGCACTACAATAGCTGAAGAGAGGCACAGAGCACAAGGAGGGCAGGAAAGATCAAGGGAGGGCTTTATACAGAGACAAAAGTGAGCACACTGTACTGGGTACATGTAGCGGGAGTAGCTTTGCTCCAGGGGAAGGGCTGTGCTGGGGAGCTGTGGGAGAAAAAGAAGACTGCAAAGGTTAAATGTGCATGTTGGGCACAGGGGGTCACCTGATGACTCTATGCACAGCTGATGGCTCCACCTCTGAAGATCACCATGGTGCCTGTGTAGAGGATGGCCATGTGGAAGATAGACTAGATGGGGAAGCCTGAGGACAGGGAGACCAGGGAGCGAGTGAGGGTTGACCTAGGGCACTGACTATGGAGATGAGAGGGAGAGAAGCCATGAAAGACAGACAGAGTAGGGTTTGGTGGCCAGATGGTAGGAGTTGGGCAAAGGGGAGTTAAAGATGATGATAGTGTGCACATAAAGGACGGTGCAAACAGCAAAACCAACAGACACAGAGCCAAAAGGAAGGAGAGCTCCTGGGGAGGAAGAGGATCAACATCCCTTGTACAGCCTCATATAGAACCAGGTACCTGGTCACTGCTGAAGGCATGGAGTGGACAAATAGTTTCCTTCTAGGGGTATTGAGTTTGTGAACTGTGGGTCATTCATGGAGGTTGTCATATGCTCAGCAGGCTATTTGACCACATATGATCTCTGGTCACTGGGGGTAGGGCTAGGGACTAGTGACTCTACTGGGACACCCTTTCTGCATGGCTAATTTCATTACTCCAAGAGGACACTGGCTCAAACTGAACTGATATCAGCTGGCTGGGAGAAGTTCTTAAAAAGTTTCCAGCCTTGGGGCACCTTGGTGGCTCAGTGGGTTAAGTATCTCCTTTTGGCTCAGGTCATGATCTCGTGCTTCATGGGTTTGAGCCCCACATCAGGCTCTCTGCTTTGCACACAGAGCTCACTTCAGACCCTCTATCCCCCTCTCTCTCTCTGCCCCTCCTCCACTTGTGCTCATGCTCTTGCTCTGTCTCCAAAAAAAATAAAAATAAATAAAAACTTTAAAAAGTTTCCAGCATTTTTGGAGGAAAAGCCAGAGAGAAACTCACTGTGGTCCATTAGTATGCTTAATAATGAATATTCCCAGGCACTTGATATTGGCAAGATGCTGTATCACCACTGTTTATCATTACCCACATGCTATCTCAAGCTGTCTAGTCTAACCACTGAAGTGTGGGGGTGATATCAATCTTAAAATGCATCTCTCTCCTCAGGTTTGCCTGGTCATAGGTCAGGTTGTGGAAAGAATGTGAATTTTGGACTCTGTCCCACCATCAACAAACTGTGTGACTTTTGGATAAGTTACTTCACTCCTCAGCGTCTCAATGTCTTTCTTAACAAATAAGAAGACTGTTGTGTCACATGATATTGCTTCTACAAAAAGCACAGCACCATGTCTGACAGTTATTTGCCAGTGGTATCTTTTATTTTTTTCCTCTCAGGAAAACAAAGCCAAGTTCTGTATGTGCCTACTAATACATACTTTTTGCAATTGTGCAATCTAATGGAACATTCAGTGTAGAAAGAGACAGGAGTAAGGACAGGATATCTGGATTCTGGTCCCAGTTCTGACTTGCAGACTTACCACTGACTTGCAGCATAATAGCTAGGGTAATCCTGTGTCTCAATCTGTATATTGGGTGATTAGGACTAGATTCACTGATTATCTTGGAAACGCAGAATCTGTGCACAAGGAGTCGTACCCAAGTAAGTTGCGGTTACTGCTGGTATGTGTCGCATCCCTCTGGTATGCTTGGATTGGGAGAAGATCTCTGTGGTCCAGACTTCTCCAAGACCAGCAGCTTCCACTCTGCAGGCACTTAGGATTGGAAAGTACCTTAAAGGCCACCTATCCAAACCTCCGCATGCTGGTCTTTTCATTCCCTCCCCCCATTACATTCACATGCCATGGTCTTTCTAGACTTTGAAATTTTGTTTATTCTTTTTCCTGTTGGAATTTCTCAAATGCCCTCACTGTCATGCTTTCCTGAACCCTCCAAACTTTTTTGGTTCTCCTCCCAGTGTCCCACCCATCCATATCACTTCTCTTTAGAGCACACACATCTGTCAATTTAGCTGTTTGGTTCAGTTCCATCTCCTGGAGGTCTTGTCCTGGCTGACATTCTCTATAAAGCCACATTTTTTTTTTCTTATAAGCTACCACTGTACCAATGCCATCAGGTTTCAAGAAAGACTTGCTCACTCAATGGAGGGATCAGGGGACTAAGAGGGTCTTGGCATCCAGACTCCCACTTCAATTAGTCCCCAGGCACAGAGTTAGCTCCCACCAAAGACAGCACTGCCGTCAATGAGACAGCAGAGTATAGTTTAGTTCAAGAATGTTTACTGAGGCCTATTTAGGACCTGGATCTACATGGTGTGTTAGGGCACAGATGGCTAATACAGAGCCCTTACCTTTGAAAAGCTTAAGTCTGATAAAGGGAAGGAAACACTATGGTAAGTAGAGATGGTAACACAAAATCTCAGATTTTGAAGTCAGCATGACAGCATATATAGTGAAGATAGGGAGCAGAAGAGGATTACTTCAGGATTGGGTTGGGAATAAAATAACCAATTCTCTTTTGGCCTGTGGGCTATCCACGGGGACATGTCTGACACACAGTCAAATATAGGAGGGTGGATCTTGGGGGTAAGGCCAGGACTAAAGAGATTTGGGCCTTGGTACTTTATAGGAACTAGGAAAACAGCACAGGCATTTTAAGAAGGGAGTGGTAAATAGCCATAATGCAGCAACAGACAAGAGTTGACTGGATTTGGTAATTTGGAGGTCAAAGCAGTTTTGGGAGTAAATGTCAAATTATAGCAGGTTGAGGAATAAGAGGGTAGTGAGGAAATCAAGACTATTGAGTATAGACTACTCTTTTGAGATGTTTTGATGAGGGAAGGAAGGAGTGATAAGCTGGTAATAACCCAACACAAGGATGCAGGGTCAAAGGAGATTTTGCTTGTGTTACTACTGTTTTAAGATGAAAAAAAAAAAAAAACCCGAGGCATGTTCATAGGTTGAAGATTAAGAGTGAGTAGAGCAAAGGAGAGGCAGGGGTAAGGGCCCAGAGATGCTGGCAGAGGTGGCTCCAGGGCACAGGTGGAAGAGCAGGCTTTGAGGTAGGACAAAGCCACCTCATCCCAAGATTAGCAAGATGGTTGAATCTAGCTGCAAATTAGTTCATGAGGACTGGACCTCAGGTTGAGGGGGCCCTCCTGGATGTTTTCCTGTGCTTGAGGAAGCTGGGGTGAAATGGGAGAGGGGGAGGGGCTTGAGGTCAGTGGTAAGGGTTTAGAAAAGTGGGGAAATGGGAGAGAAAGTTGGCAGAGAACAAGTAAAAGAGAACAGTTCAGACAAGCTGAACTGAGGCCTGCCTGAGATTAAAAATCATACTGCTGTAATGGCATCATTCCACAGTGATATGCGGTTTTTTCCAGCAGAGCTCAGTTACCCAGGCTGAGGAATGGGGAAGCAGAGTGAGTCAGATCAATCCCAGCTCAGGGGTTTGCAAGTCAGATACACCAAAGGATGGGCAGAGCAGAGGGTCCTGATCATGAGTGGTTGAAGCAATGAACAAAAGATAGGATGGAGGGGAAGCAAGGTTGAGGGAGAGAGGAAATGGAGGAATGGAGGTCTGGATGCAGGCAGAGGGCTAACATCATGGGATGCAAGGATGAGAAAATGAAGGTCAAGAGGTTATGGTCACTGAGAAGAATGTTGGGATGTCAGGTTTCAGAGGCAGAGGAGCTCTGAATGATGGAAATGGGTTCTGAGTGTAGTGGAAAATGAAGGTCACTAGAGTTGAAGAGCTGAAGAGTATCAGATGAGACACTCAAATGAAACAGATATTGCTCCAGAAAGCAAGAAGATAATTGTGTGCTAAAGGCTTCCATGAGTATGAGGGAAGTGACTCAGGGTCAGAATATGACAGAGAAAAGGAAAGGGAGACAACCACAGGTATTTACAGGAACCAGTGCAATATTCAGTTTGACTATAGCACCCAGAGTAGACTGGGTAAAGGGGAATACAGGAGGTATGGTTACCATGATAGGTTGGGGCAGAATCTGAGAGATGTTTGAATGTCAGGCTAAGAAGCGTAGAGGATGGCAATAGGAAGCCACTGAAAATCAGTAAGCACCTATGGAAGGCACACAAAGGAGAGGCATAACAAAGGAGAACAGCACTGGGCTCAGAGTCAGAAGACTGGGTTCAGTAATAAACAGCAGCTACCATTTATTGTGCACTTACTCTGTACAGGCCACTGTGCTGAGCACTCTGGGGGAGGAAGGGGGCATAGATTATCTCATTCATTCTCATACTGGACTCAGTTCAGCCAGGTCTTAAGCTGTGTGACCTTAGGCAAGAATACCATGCCCCTCCCCTATCTGGGACTCAGATCTCCCACCTGTTAGTAGGAGGGGAATGGGATTCAGAGTCTTTTGCAAGAGCCCTGTCCAACTCTGCCACCCTAGGGCTGTGTGGCCCTGAGGCCAGGGCCTCACCCTCTTACCAGATGGAATTCAAGACACTTACAGCTGAAGGAGTTGAGAGCTAGCCCAGCAAGGTGAGCCCAAGCAGGACTCAACCACCCGGGGCCAGTCAAGGGAAGCAGAGCAGTTGAATAGCCTCCAGCTCCTTCTTGCTTCCCACTGGCTTGCAGAAAATCGGCGGGCATTCCGTCCTGACAGAGAAGAGAGGGTTTGAGGAGAAGGAAAAAGTAAGCCCCCCACCCAACCTTGTACTTTTAAAAGCTTGGCTCTGTCTCTCCCTATTCCCCCAGACTCCCCACTCTATTCCTCCCAATTGCTCAAGCATTTAGGCCCTTGTGTCCCAGACCGAGTTTAGTTGGCCCTGCAAAAAAAAAAAAAAGCTACAAGATTTGTCCACTGCTATTGTGGTGCCCTCCTGGGCAAGCCTAAACATTTAACAAGAAATGTGTCAGCCTGGTGCTATTCAGCTGAGAGCTGAGAACAATGGCAGATGCTCCTGCCTGGGCTGTGTTAGGCCCTGAGACTAGGGCCAGACTCTCTCACCAGTCTTGGTGTTAGCCACAATCAGTTCAATGGTCCATCTGAGGATGTAGGTGGGCCGGATCCCACTGTCCCCCAAGGTTGGCAGCTCGGAGAACATCCTCTCTAGTAGGGCCTGCGTGAAGGTCTGGGAGTGCAGACCCCTGAGCAGGGGCTGCCAGAATTGAGAAAACGGCTTTGGCACCAGGATGTCACTCAAGTCCATGTTTTCTGGTTTGTGAGGGACATAGGTTGATAAGGAAAGGGGAGGCAGGGGCCGATGGGAGACCGGGAGGGAGGAGAGGGAAAAAGGCAGGGAGGAAAGAAGAAAATGAGAGGGAGAGAGAAGGTGTAGAGGAAGGGGAAGAGAGAGAGGGAGGAGGGGGGCCCACCAACAACAGAGTTGCCACCAGAGAACAGAAAGAGAAGAGTAGAACAGCAAGGAGAGAATCCAGTTAGTATCTGGCAACCAACTGATTCAAAACAGAGTATTTAAAAAAAGCTCTGGTTCTAGCTTCAGCTTTGTCAATAACTCACTGTGTAACTTTGGGTCAGTACCTTCCCCTCTCTGGACCTCAGTCTGCCCATCTGTAACATGAGGATGTTGAACTAGATGACCTCACAAGGCCCTTCCAGTTCTGCTGTTCTAGCTCACTAGCAAGCGACTAAATCACAATTAACATAGCACAATAATAACATTAAGACTTATCCCATCCCATCCCATCCCATCCCATCTTATTCCATCCCATCCCATCCACCCCACCCAATTCCAGGCCACCTAAGAGTAGCCCAGAAACTGAGTATCAGTGGGGCTACTTGTCCTGCTTGTCTGAGACAGGCTTCCAGAGGCTATGGAATGGCAGGAAACAGCCTTGGGCCACCTAGCCACCAGTAAACACAGTACTCTAAGACTGAAGTAAGCCCCCAGGACCATACCTTCATAGTCTATCTGCAAAGCTGCCAACTGTTCAAATGTGGGGATAAGAAAGCCATCATCCAGAAAAGCATCCAACACAGCCTCCCTGAAGCAAGATGACAGTTAAGCCAACTAAGCAGAGAGAAGACCCTCTTTTACCCCCCACCCACTCCCAAGGCACCTTATGCCTCTGACTCAGGTGGGCAAAGCAGCACGGGGGGAAGCAAAGGTAACTGACAGTTGGATCTCATGCCTCAGCCTTCTGGGACAGAGGATGGGTCAGAGACTGGGATCAGTGGGTTCTGAACAAACATTTACCAAGCACATGCTGATCTAATGCCCATCATGAGGGCAGTAGCAGCTGAACAAGCCTGAAAACACAGATGGAGAAAAGTCCCAGGCCCACAGAGAGTTAAATGACTAAGGTCACAGAGTCAAGGGCTTTTAGACTTTAGCTACTACTCAGTCTTTTTGTTTCTCTTGACAGTCCTCCAGTCTCTTATCCTTCCTCTTCTACATGGTTGCCCTCTTTCAGATCCTAGAAACAGAAACTTTGGGGACTCAGTTGCTGGAGTAAACATAATCCTTAATCCCAGGGACCTCAAGAACCTAGAACTAAGTTACAGAGGTTGAAAGTACAGCTTTCACCTCATGTAGCTAAAAGTGAAACCAACAACAGCCAGCTGTATTCTCCTGAGCGAGCAGTTTCTCCAAAAGAGGTTCCCCTAGCTGACCAGGCCTAGAGGTGGAACATGAGTTCCCAAGGTGACTCAATGCCCAGAGGCATTGTCAGATCATGTTGTCATGCTCAGATCCCTCCCTCCACCAGGCCTGAGGTGGAAAGGGATATCCTTCCATCCATCTCCCACCTCCTCAGGTCAGTATCCAGGAAGAGCACTTAAAGCAGCCAGCCAATTGCCTGCTCAGCATAACCAGGCAGACATTACAATACAGAGGTAAAGGAATAGTTGTCCCAGCTGCTGGGTGGCCTGTGCTGAAGGGTGCCAAGAAACCTAGGGTGGGCAGACCTGATAAAACATCTTTGGAACTAGTAATATCCTGGGAATGAAGAAGACTCTCAGGGCAATCCCAACCTCCACTGCAGGCTCCCACCCAGGCCCACCCTACCACATATACAACCTTTCTAATACTCTCTGTTCCATCCCATATTTCTTCCAACTCTTCCTAGTTTGGAAGGCCTAGCAATGCTTTCATTGGTTCTTAGTGGAAGGTTCCCCAAAGTCCTTTCCAGGTGAATTTAGGTAGCAAGAGCCAAGAACTAGGTAGGAAAGGAATGGATAGACACTGTTTGTCTGCTCTGGATTGAACTGAGCAGTATTTTGAAGGTAGGGGGGAAAGAAGGCTCATGGCCACACTGAGCAGGGAAGGACTTACTCTTTCAAAGAGCCAGACCCTGGGAAGGCCTCTCCTTTGTTCCCCTAACCACAACTATTCAAGGGATTAATACTCCCTGATTGCAGTTCAAAAAGATCTGCAGTGCCCACCATATCTTTTACCTCAAAGTTGGACAAAGGCTAGACAGTGAAGTGGTAAAGAGATGAAAGGCTTTTCCTACTTGCCCAGAGCTCCACATGCCACTTGACACAGAGGAACAAAGCTGGCCAGGGGACTGATGACAGCAGACATTCCTGTCTCTGGTCATTTTAGTGATTCAGAGTAGGCAATCTCTACCTGGTAGCTGGGAGGGCCAAGGGAAGGGGGTCATGCAGAACACAGGTCACCCCACAGGGGATCAGGATTATCCCTAAGATTTCCTTATAGCAGAAGTTGGCAAGCTGGGATATGGAAACCTATTTCAGTGAGGCGGCTAGAGTAGGCAGCCCCTAATTATCTAGTTACACACCTGTTCTCACATGTAATGCCCTTGAGCTCTGCCAGGATGCATTCTACAGGTGGAGACAGGTTGTTCCATGCCTTAACAGCCTGAGGTAAATACCTAAATTTCTCAAGCACCTGCCAGCAAAGAGGTTACCATGAGAAAGGTGGTTCAGCCAGGCAACCCTCTCCCACCCTTCAAGGATCCTTTCCCATAGGACCTCTCAGTACCTCCCTTCAGGGGTAGGACCACAACTCCCTTACTGACCCCACAATTAAAATTATCCTGACCTTCAAATGCCAGACTTTATTTTCTTCTTCCATCTCCCTCCTCCTCTTGAATTTCCTGTGGCTCCCAATCACCAGACACCCCAATACTGAGATGTACAGTGGGGCATTTTGTTGGAATTGGGCCAGAGACAATTGGGCCCAGGAATTAGGGGAAGCAATAGGTTATGGAAGAAAGGGAATCAGATGACCAAGATTCGAATTCTGGTTCTATCGCTAACTACATATGTGACCTGGGGCCAGTCCCTTCACTAATCTGTGGTTTCAATTCCTTCATCTGTGAAAAGGGTCAAGCTGAATGGTTTCTAAGCTACCTTCCTTCCTGCTAAAATAGCAACCCTCAAGTTCACCTGATCTAGGAAAGTTCCTGGGTGCCATATGCTTATCAGCTGCAGTACTGCAGGACTATGCAACCACCTATGCCCAGTTGTTCCCTACCACCCAGTGGGGCAGATATCCACAAACTTCCATCATCTGCTCTCTTCCATCGGTGTGAAGGGTCAACAAACTGTATTCTGCCTCTCTTGTTTCCTTCCTAGTTCCCCCCTTTCTCTTTCTGAGAAGTTCCCTCAAGCTCTGCCACTTTTCTTTCAAATTCCTTCTCAGGATTTCTCTCAGGAAGCTGGCAAGAAGGAAGAAATGGCTGGGGCAAATGAAAATACACAAAGTCAAGGGTGCTTTCTTACCTTAAACTGCTCCTCTTCGTATAATACCAGCAGTTCTCGGGCTCTTTCTGAAAACAGAGTATGAAAAGATAGGGCAGCCCAGCCCTCTGTTCCTCATGGGACTGTGAGTCCTTCTCACCTTATTTCTTGAGTTGTAAATTTGGAACTAGAATTCTTGCCTCTCCTACTTCACAGGGTTCAAGAGAAATGGTATGTGACAGTAACTTTTTTAAGCTAAAACTCACTACAACCCCAGAGGATTTGCTGAGCCAGGGAAATAACCAGTGTCAACCCTAAGTCTGAGCCTTCCAGACTCTTGAGCCCCTCTATACTGCCTCTGCCCCCCAAGGACACCTACCATATAGCTCTTTATGTCTCAGAGCCTTTTCCCAATGTGAATCAACCTCTTTGTTGCTTTCACTGTTTCCATCAACCCTGACATCCAGTTCTGCACCTTTCCCCTTATCCTTAGGCTCTGTTCTCTGTTCTGTGATGTCATCAACAACAATGTTTTTATCTTCCTCTTGGTCTTCTTCATCTGTCTCTTCCCTATCCTCCTCCAACTCCCAGGTTTCTCTCAGGCTATTCTCCAGTTGGCGGCACCAGTATGTCTTCTGGAGCCAATTCAGAACAAAATAACAGCCTAAACAAGGGGAGGAAGAAAGGAAGTGTCATATGACTAGCCATAGGCAAACAGCTCCTAGCAGGCCCCCAGTCCCATAAGCATTATGGGAAGACCCCAGGGAAGAGGCTTAACTCTAAGAAGGCACACATCTCAAATATCTAGAAGCAGCCATTCTTGCTCTGGGTTATCTCCCTGTTCTTTGCTTTCTCATGCTCACCAGCAACTTTCCTAGAAGAAACTAATACCAGTATTAGAGATGGGATGCCAAAAATAACATAGGGCTGGCAAGCAATAGAATAGGGACCCAGACCCACTAGCTAGTTACATGGCCTTGGCTGAGTCTCTTCTCTTTTCTAGATCTCAGTTTCCCCAACATGACAGGGCTAGGCTGAATCAGTTAGGATGGGGTGTCTAAAGAACCTCTGGGTTCATGACATTTGATGGCTCACACCTCTCAACCTGCCTTCCATTCCCCTTTAGGCAAAAAATTTAAGGGGATGCCAAAAATTAAAGTAACCAAGATATCAAAACAGGATCAGAATAGCATCCTGCCAAGCCATAGTGGAGTCTGAAGCAAAAGGAAAAATGAGTAATGGTAATCCTGTCTTTACTTAATTTTTTGATATTTTGTTCATTGTGGGTTTTTCCACATTAAAAATGTTATTTAATTCAATTACTGAGCTTTTGACACCCACTTAAAGTTTGTGCCCAAAACAAGTGCTTCACTTGCCTCTCCCTAGTTCTGGCTCTGACACCAGTTAAAGACCCTCCTCCTTCTCCCTCTCCCCACAGTGCCACCCAGTCCAGGCTCCTGGACTTAACTATGATAGATATACTTCCTGAAGTCTCACCTCTGCGACAGTCATTTATATGGGGCATTTTCTTGTGAGTCAACTCATGGCGAAGTTCAACAATCCAATCCGGAATGTTTACCTGATTGTGAGGGAAGTGTGAGTACAGAAATCAGACAATATTAAAGTTGGAAGGGACCACAGAGATGAATTAGCCTGGCCTCCCTGCATTTGACAGAGACATTGAGGTCTTGATGAGGTTCCAGTCTTAGTGGCAGAACCAAGATTATAAACAAGGTCTCCTTATTCTTTTTACTCTGTGTAGATGATCTTGAAAATCAGGAAAGATATCTGCCTCCCCCAACCACCAATGACCCTCTTCCAATAAATAGATTCCTATGAATGGGCATTAACAATCACCCCCAGCCTTCCTCTGCCTTGTCTGTATTAGTCTGAATCCTTGGGTACCCTTTATCCTTCCTCCCTCTCTCCCATACCCCTTTTCAGGAAGTTCTCTTGATGACTGAGAACCTGCCTGCCCTCTGGGCCTCTACACACCTCACATACTCAGGACAGGAATGTCAGGCATTTTCATGCTGATTGGTTGAGTTTACCTCCTGCCTCAGACTGCCAGCTCCCAGAAGGCAGGCATTGTGACTGCCACCTCTTTCTTGTCCTCACCCAGTGGAGCATTCCAGTGCCTTAGCTTCACTGGCCTACTCCAAACAAGCTGGAAAGGCCAAGCCACTGAAGACAGCAGCCATGAGCAAGGGAGCAAGTCTGCTACTTTAAAGCTGGAGGCTGAGGCTCTGGGGTTCTTGCTTGGCTTGGCTGGTAGTGGTGGGATGAGCTAGTCTGACTGCATGCCCACATCACCCCATGCCCCATTTAGTAAGGCAATTTTGTCATACACACCTCCTGAGCCAGGAACTTGAGAGGGAGCTTGACAAACTTTGTCTTCCTCTCGGAAATGAGATTCACAAACCTGGGGTTGGGGAAGAAATAAGTGGCATAGCCCAAGGAACTGTTTTACTCAAACCAGTAGGGCTTCAAAACACCTTGCTGAGTTACTGACACCTTGCATTTCTACAACCTTTCCAATAACTGTTCTGTCTTGTTCTTATGACTGGTATCAGCCAGCACAGGGATGTCTGCCCTGTACTGAAGCCATACAGATGAATAAGATACTGCTCTGGCCTTGAAGAGGTCAGTCTAGGATAAATATTCATGGCACGACATAACATACTATGCTAGATAATATTTTATAAATGCTAAAACAAAAGACTACCTACATCAAATGATATGGGGAGCCCACCTAAATGATGGATAAGATAAAAAGAATTAGGGAGGACCTCAATGCACACAAAGGAAACAGCAGAAGATGAACAGACTTCAACAGATGAGAAAATTCAGTGGCAGCCTTTTTCCTGATGTGTATGAAACAGCTAGAATCACTCTGAATTACTTTGTAAATCAGGAATTCCCTGCCCATGTGTCCACTTCAACTCAGCAACCTTTCAGTGTTCATGGACAAAAGGGGAACATGATGGTGCTAGGTATATATGAGGGAAGGGTTGAAAAGTCCACATTAAGTCATAGCCAAGGACATCAAACCATTCAGAGAAGTTCATCTGGGTAAAGGGTAAGAAAAAAAATTAAATTGTCAAAGCTGGAAGAGATTCACTGAGATCACTTGGTCTAAACCACCTCTACCCCACATTCCAGAAAAAGAAGGAAAGAAAAATGGAGGATAGAAGGCTCTCAGGAAAAAAAAAAAGAGAGGAATGTGTGTTGACAGGGTGTACCAAAAGCTGTCAAATCAAACAACCACAGCGTGACCCATACAGAGGGACACATGGGACTTTTTGTTTCAGGTAGCACGTAAAGCCAAGCTTTGCTTATCAAGTGTACCCCCACCCCCATTCCTCTACCCACTCCCACTCCTACCCCTGTAGATCTTACCTGACCAACGCCATGCCATAGAGCAGTCTAAGTTCATCAGTGCCCAAGCCACCAGTTACATCCATGAGCTTACAGCGTACCAGGTCAGCAGTAGAAGCCACTGCCAGGGGAAGTTCGTTGCCTAACCTAAAGGGCCACAATCCAGCACCATCACAAAGGTCCCTTACCCTGATCCACCCTCCCCCTCAGAACCTAGGTTGCTGTAAGTTATTCCAATTATATAACTGAACTGGCTCAAGAGTGCATGACAGGACACAAATCAAGTGGGAAGGGGGAGGATAATGTCCCTAGGATCCAATAGTATACAGCGCATGAGAGGCTGGCTAGGGTATACAAAGGACACCTAACTGCTAGGCAATCAACCAAAAATTAAATGTGGACATACCTCTTTCTTTCACTCTACAACTTCAACTCATTCAGTTAGAGAAGATCTTATCCTTTGCTCCCCAATCTTACCAACTGGACTGAGGCGCCCCATTCAAACGTGGTTTTGTTAGTAAGCACCCCCACCCCAGCTCAATTCAACTCAGAAATACACCCTAGGTTGTTAACCTACTCCTTAAACCCTGGCTCGGCAACGCTGGTCCCTACAGCATCCTCCCCAAGATGGAAGAATGTAAGGGTTAAAGTTAGATTTAACAAGAGGGTGGCTGAGGCACACTCCCTTCCTTTCTTTCTTTCTTTCTTTCTTTCTTTCTTTCTTTCTTTCTGCAAACGGGATTAGTACCAAAACTGGGCTGCTTGACTTTGCCCCAGGCTCTTGGGAAAGGGGCAACGCCCAAACCACTCATAAGGACGTTAGACATTTAGGAGAAGATTATAGAATAGGGCCTTTATCAGAATCCTACAAAGAAGAGTTGAGGCTCCACCAGCTTGCAAGAGGGCTGAGCCTGCGTCCATACCTGCTTCTCCACACGGTGATGCGGTTCAGGGCGTACCGCTGCAATTTATGGTCGTCACAAAACAGATATACCATCACCTGATCCCACTCGGCCCTACTGAGCCAGGCGACCACGATGCGCTGGGCCCAAAGTGGTGACGACCCTTTCTCTTTGACGCACTTCCCGCACCACGCACTCCACACGCGATCCATCCCCTAAGGACCCACACCTGTCCAGGCCCCCGGATTCCCACCGGACACCGGCCTGCAGGCCCCCAGATTCCCACCGAACTGCAGGCCTTGTACTGGACCGAGCGGCTTTCAGTTCAACGTGCTACCCTCGCTCCAAACCACCGCCCTGCCAGCAGCCAATGGAAAAGCGTGACCCGGACGCAAGCCCGCCTTCCAGAGTTAACGTGGCAAATCGTAACACGAGGGCTGGGACCAACGTAACCACAAATTGGGGGCACAGCCTCGCCAGCCGGAAGTGTTCTTTTCTCAAAGCAACCGTACCGGCTGCAACCGTTCAGCCTCAAGGTTCCGCTAATTCCCTGGTTGCTAACGAGCTTCAGTCCCAGACCCTGAGGACGCGTCTAAACTTCGGGAGGAATTTTAGTTTGTGCCCTTTGGCAGGCAGGGGAAAGATCTTGGTCATTCTGTGTACTGGGATGCGTTTGTAAGTATGTTTTCATTACAATGAATCAGCACCTGACCCAGAAAAACACTATGGACACTGAAGCAAGACTACAGAGAAAATATTGAAATATTTAAATTTGGGTTGAAAAATTTGCTTGGTTTTCTCATCTGTGCAGTGAAGGGCTTAGGCTGGGTGATCTCTAGATTCTAGTCCATAGCTGGAAGTTGTAGGATTTTACTCTGCCATCATTCCGCTGCTGTGTTGGTTTCAACATCCGCATAGGTATACTTAATTTTTCTGCATAATTCCTTAGGATAATGGAGTTGCGGGGTGTGGGGGAGGGATTTTATGAAGCCCTTCTGACTTCACAGGATGGCTAAAATGTGTTCAGGGTTCTGCTCCAATCTTTCTCACAGAAGTTGTTTTCCAATCTAACACTTGAGGGAGAACTGCTGATATCAGTCTTAACAGCATCTCTTTGAGTAGCAACACAATCCAATCCGATCTCCCTATGTGCTTTCTCCAGCCATTTTCTCCTAAGATGTGGTATTCTCACATGGTTCAGGATCTTGGCTGCTTACAGGCAAAGACAGGGAGATTGATTATATGGTTCCTTGAAATCTAATCCAGTCAGAGGAGCTGTCAAATCTAAATCATTTGTGAACATTTTGGGGGTTTAGAGGCTAGTTTTGGATAGGGCTTTTCCATAAACACCCCTATCCTTCCCCTTTCATTCTCCATGAAGTTGATGGTCTCCCTATTTCATGTGTTCCAAGAAAACTTGACCAAAGTACATAACAAGAGTACCATGTCTAATATGTGACAAATGAGGCTTGATACCTGTTAAGAATTAGGGATTTCTGGGTCAACAAGTGTGTTAAGTAGTGATAGCTTTGAGGAGGCACTATATTAGTTTCTTGTGGCTGCTTTCACACATTTCCACAAACTTGGTGGCTTAAAACAACAGAAATTCATTACCTCACAGTTCTGGAAGTCAGAAGTCCAAAATCAATATTATTTGGCTGAAATTGAGGTATTTTCAGGGACATAGTCTCTCTGGCTGCTTTAGGGGAGAATCCGTTTCTTGTATTTTCCAGCTTCTGGTGTCTATTGGCATTCCTTGGCTTGTAGCCACATCACTCCAGTCTTCAAGGCCAGCATCTTCAAATGTCTCTCTGTTCTATCTTCATTTCACCTTTTCTTTGTTTATGTAAGATCTCCTACTACCTCCCTCTACTATATGTGATCACATTCAGGGCCAATCCGGATAATCCAGGATAATATCCCAATTTCAAGATCTTTAATTTAGTTATATGTGCAATTAAAAATTTAAATTTATTTAACCATATAAAGTAGCATTGTTCCATTTTATTTGCTTATTTTACCATAGAAAGTAACAGTCACAGGTTCCAGGGATTAGCATGTGGCTGTCTTTTATTTGGAAGGTAGGTGCTTTTTGCAGCCTACCAGACGTACTATGGAATCCATCCTTGTCACATGTTCATGAATTCTAAAAATTCCCAGGCATGTGGTTCTGCAGGACACCTCCAGCTGTACCAATGGACTTTAATTAAACAAGCTCTCTCCAAATCTAAGGCATTGTCTGTGAAATCTTAAGGCCTTAAAGAGGCCTTGGTCCTCTCTGAATCATGTACTACCCCCCTAACTGGTCTCCCTGCTTCCATCCCTTACACAGTAGTCTCATAAAATGGAACCTCATCTTGATAGAGTAATAAATTCCTGGATTGTTTTCCTGAAATAGTAAGCATTAAATGGCTTTTCAAAGGTTTTTACAATTTGGCTCAAACCTACCTCATGTCCAGTTATTCTTTTTAAAACATTGAAGTTACAGCTGGTCTCTGAATATGCAAACCTCTTGTAAGCCTCTATTCCCTTCTCTATTATGTTAGCACTATCTAGAAAGCCTTCTTTTTTTCCCTCTTTCTGGCAAGCCACCATTCATCCTTTAAGATTCAGGATCATTTGTCAAATCCAGTTTTCTGAAGCAGAGTAAATCTGTCACGCCCTTCTCTGAACCCCCACACCACTTTGTACATCCTTCTACTGGAGGAAGGAAAAGAAAGGAATGCTTGCTGAATGCCTACCATGGGCCAGGCCATATGCTAAATGCTTGAAAACATTGAACTTTGTCTGAGCCCTGGGCTCGAAAAAAGGAGCCACAGTTGAGAAACTCCCTCACCCTTTTGTGTTAAAAAAAAAACAAAAACAAACAAACAAAAAAACAAAAACCAGCTAATTGTAAAAGGACCACATTGCACTGGCATATTTTGAGATGAGACCCTATCCATACTTCCTCATGACTCCCATAAGACTGGTGATGATTCCTTTGTTCACTTGCCGTTATAAAACTTTCTTTTCTTTGAGCAGTCTCCCTATGGCTATAGCCTGAATTCTGTGAAATTGGTTTTGTTCTTAATAGTTTACAGATGAGAAAACCAAAGCTCAGCTGCATGGCATAAGATGGTACCAGTAAGAAGGAAAAATGTGATTCCCTCCCAAGTCTGTGTGTCTTCAGTCTAGGCTCTTTCCACAGCTCTCAGACATGGGATGTGATTTTCCTGTTTACAGGTCTGCTTCAGACCATGAAACCTTCAAAACCAGGTACGTCCAGGGCTCCAATTAATCTTAATCCTTGTTTGCTAAATGAATTCCTGAATAAACCATGTAAATTCCCACTGAGATAGTGTTGAAGTGTTTCTAACTTTCTTTTTAACCTAAGCCTCTTTTTGATAAGTAGGAAAAATAAATGTGAAAGGCTGAAATTTTGAGCCAAAGGAGAATTTACATTTTAAGTGTATAAGATAGTGCTTTATCCTAAGGAATGGGGCCCTCTGAGGAATTTCAGGCCTGATGAGGAGGGATGGTTTTGAAGGGGGGGAGGGTAATATCCCTTCCAAAACCTCCAGCCTTCTAAAGCCCTCAATTGGCAGAATGTCCTCAGAGAAGTAGGTGATCCACTTGAGAATGGAAGCTCTTCATTGTCCACTGTGTCACATTTAGTATTCTACCTCAAGATCTGGTGCTGGGAGGTGTTAGCAAGAAAACATCTCAGGTTAATTGCCTGCTTCTGTTGTAGGATTCTCTCCAGAATCATATCCTCTCAATGGAGGAGGCCCAAGGGGTCATCTTATCCAGTCCCCTGACAAAGTAGATTGCATCTCAGTCACATGGGAACCTATGCCTTCTTAAGGATTTATTTTAGACACTAACAATGCTCATGTAGGACGTTATTATTCGTGTCTAGCCTGCATGTTTGTGCTGCAGTAGCAATGTGCCTTCTTTCAGCTCTCTGCTGAAATGGCAGGCAATATTATGGATTCAAAGCTCCCAATCAACTCTTAGTCTACCTGAAGAAGGCCTCTGTTTTAATGCTCAGATTATGTATTCTTTCCTAACAAAGCCAGACATTCCTCTATTATTAGCATAGAAGGTTAGATTGGAGCAGTGCACACTGGCTGAGAGAGGGTATTACCACCTTTAGGGGTCTATCATCATTTCTCTAAGGCTTTCTTTCAAACATTTCTGGATTCAGACCAATTGTGAGAAATACATTTTACTTAACTCATTTCACACATACATGTATATAACTGAAATAAAGTTTCCACAAAAGAGTATTTAACCTTACTACATGCAATTCTAGTTTATTCAGTTTCATTTTATAGTTTATTTACTATCATGTAAGGGGTTCATGGACATATACTGCCAATACCTGAGAATCAAAACCTTCTATTCCCACACTTAGCCTGGACATTGAAAACTAAAACTACACCTTACTGTCTAAACAAATATGACTTTGCTATTCTGTTGTCTTCATTAGCTTGACTTTACTTTTCCAGGGCTCCCCTGCTCAGGCAAATGTTTTATTACAGGAGCATCCTAAAAAAATCCAACAACTAACTCTTCAGTTGAAAGCATCAACAGGGAGTTTAAAATCCCCTGAGTCTTTTAATCTCTCACTTCTAAATCCTTGTCTTGCTGTTTCCATCAATCCTGGACTGTTATGTTATGCTCATTACCTAATTCTAATCAAGTCCTAGCATTAAAAGACCTACCTTGGGGTGCCTGGGTGGCTCAGTTAGTTGAGTGTCCAATTTCAGCTCAGATCATGATCTCATGGCTCGTGAGTTTGAGCCCCGCGTCAGGCTCTATGCTGACAGCTCACAGCCTGGAGTTTGCTTTGGATTCTGTGTCTCCCTCTCTCTCTACCCACCCCCCAAACTCGTGCTCTGTCTCTCTCTCAAAAATAAATAAACATTAAAATAAAGACCTACCTTAAACCAAACTTCCAGTTCTCAAGTTCTAATTTTGCCTTCCCTCCCTCTGAGACATCTCTGCCAAAGCTTTGCATAGGTGGTGTTCTTCTTCACCCTAGTAAGGAATAAACTCACCGTGGTCTTATCAACAGTCTGTGTTGGTAATATTTAGGAAGCCACCTTTTGACATACTACATGATGCAAATACAACATGGGGTTTATTGGGGGAAAACTTACAACTAGGCTGAGAAGTGGATGAGCACACACAGTCTCCTGATTTCTCCTTGTTCCTTGGCATATGGCAGTCACAGAAG